AAAAAAAAAACACCTGCTTAGGCAAATGCAGAGGCCCAGGGTTCAATCCCCAGCCTGCCATGCAGGTCCCGGCCCTGGGGCACACTGAGATAGCCATTAAGACTGGGCATGGTGGTGTATGCCTGTAATCCCAGCATTTGGGAGGCTGAAAAACAGGATCACTACAACGCTGATCTATGTAGTGAGACCCTGTAGACCCTGTACTAAATAAGTCAAAAAAATAAATCAATAAATAAAAAAGAGAATTGTTTCAATTCATTGGAAGACCTCATGATTCTAATTCCAAAACTTAAAACATTACAAGAAAGAAAAATCATGGGCCTATATCTCTCATAGACACAGCTGGAAAATTACGAAATAATTTCGAGAGAAAGAAACCAGTTGTTGAAGCAATACTTAATCAGTGTTGTCAGAAGTCCAGGACAGGAGACTTACAGGTTCAGCTCTGATACAAGGACCCTGGAAAGCATGGTGCCCATCCTCACAACAAGGACACTAAGGGACCGGCCACCCAGCAGCTTTCCCTAGATCCATCAGAGAGTGCAAGCCTAAGGGTAAACTGTCACCCGGAAAACTGTAGAGAAAGGCAAATACAGAGAACCACAGCTTATCTGGATCAGAAGTTGCAGGAGCCAGCACTGGCAATTTAAACAGAAATTGATAAGTTACTAAAGGCTGAGTCCAACCGGTTAGAACTCTCCAGCGTCCTGTTTTGAGGAGCTCCTATCCTTTTTTGAGTTTTAGTTCCAGAAACCCTTCCAAGTTCCCACACCACAGGAAACAACAACAACCAAACCAAACCAAATCAAACAAAACCAAACCAAGCCAACCAACCAATCAACCAAAAACTTGTGCTTCAGGTGCAAGGAGAGGGAAAAGAATCACTTTTATTTTATTTTTTTGGTGGAACCAGGGATTGAACTCAGGCCCTTGCGCTTGCCAGGGAAGCACTTATTCCACTGAGCCATCTCCCTGGCCCTAAGAATCACTTTTAAGTACATTAACAGCATTCACCCCTCTGTATCCAACACCTGTCCTTAAGAGAAATTACTTTGCCATACTCTAGCTGACAGAAAAAGGGTCGATAGACATCTTGAGTCCCTTGTCATTTGCCTGTCTCATATAACAGAGGATAAAAACCTAATACATCTAAA